GAATGAGAAATTTAATGGTTTCAATCTGCCCTTGTTTTTTCTTTTTCTTTTTCTTTTTATTTTTGCATGTTATCACTGTGCCCGTTTTTTGCTGTTATTCTTTGTTCCGCAAAGTGCGCTCTTTTAGTTCGTAGTTATGTGACAATATATATACTATTTGACGATATATATATCGTCACAAATATCTGCCTATGGTTTACCGGGCAGCTCTGTTTGACTATATATATGTAGAGAGAGAGTCTTGTTCTCTCCTTCCTTGCACTTCTACGGGCTTCTCTTGGTCTCCAAATTACTGGGTGTTTGTCAATGCAGCTGTTTGTCCAGACCGGTCACGATCTGGTTCTATTCTCTGTCAATGTGGTAGTGGAATCGGAAGCTGAGCGGTATTTTCATTTCTTCTGTATTGCTGTGCATAGATATGTGACACTACATATATAGAGAGAGTGAGAGAGTCTCATTCTCTCCTTCCTTGCACTTCTGTGCACTTATCTTGGTCTCCAAACCATTGGGTGTTTCCCAATGCATCTGTTTGTGTGGACCCTGTCATGATCTGGTTCTATTCTTTGTCACATGATCATTTCTTCTGGTTTGCTGCGCAGGTCCAGAACATAAGCAGAGCAAAGAAGATTACCCCTAGCTTGGAGAAACAAGAAGTTACAGCATGGAAAGAGATGCAGGCAATCCGAACATCCTTTAAGAAAGGTCATCGGATTTCGGTTAGTGAAAGGACTCGTGCTGAGCAGCTCCTGAGGACACTGGGTCTAACTTCAGAGGAAGCAAGGGCTGCAGAGTCACGTGCATTGCAATTGGAGAAAGTGCGGGTGTGTGCTCAGCTCAATGATATCTCCTACTGTATCAAACTCCTCCGGACGTTTGACGAAACCAAAGGGAGCCATTGGGGCGATGTCCCCGGCGATGATGTGAGGATTGGTTCTTTTGAGAGGGAGCGATCGAGTGAATTGAAGTCGCCGGGGATTGGTTCTTTTGAGAGGGAGCGATCGAGTGAATTGAAGTTGTGGAAGATCAGACTGTTGCGCAGGAGCATCCATCTCACACCTGAAACAGAGAGCAAACAGAACATAGACTTCCTGCTCAACATGCTGGGTCTAGAGGAAGCAAGGGACTTGGCACAGGAAGGGCGGCATGCACAAGCACAAGTAAAGGTTGTAGACTTTTTGATCGAGCTCCTGCGGTGCACCGAAGTACCGGTGGAACAACTGCGAGAGTCGCTGCCTCAGCAGTTTGTTTGTCCCCTGTCACAGGAGAGGATGGTTGAGCCTGTCATCATTGCCTCTCATGAAGTATATGAGCGCGCATTCATATACGAGTGGCTGCATAAGAGGGTGAAGAAAGTGTGCCCAAAGACAAAAAACCGCCTGGGAGATTCCCAACTGCTTCCGAATTTCACGCTACGAGCAGAGATTCGCCTGTGGTCACTGCAGAATGGTTACGATGTGCCATGTAAGCTCCAGGGGGACTCGCTTGGCAAGCTCATTAACAATTGGGTAACGTGGTTCATTGATAATGGGGAGGACGTGCATAAGCTAGCGGTGCTCTGTAGAGAAGCCCGGGTCTCGAACTTAAGAGGAAGATCTCGCCTGCCGGTTCTGGAGACCCCTGCTCATGAGAATGCCTGTGATTTTACACCTGAACCAGGGTCTAATTCACTGAGAGATGTGGGAGGCTCTCCCTCACATGCACATCGTGGCATTTCGGTGACCACAAGAGATGGAGAGTGCTACAAAGAAGAGGTGGATGGATCTGTTGACGGGGAAGATGATCACAGTGGAAGTAGCACATCTGGCTCGTTGAGTGGAGAGGTACCACCTTTGCTGGAGGATGGACAACATAACGCAAGCCGGAGGCGATCTCTGGAAAAACAGCCATCAGGGAAATCGAGGCACCATTCTCGAAGTTGGAGTGGAGATCTGTGGGCCGGATCTCCTTCTGCTGCTGTCCCCCCGTTAAACGAACCACGGAGTCATTTGTCACCTGGGAGGAGCAAGCCGACATCAATTGTGACCATCCCAGCAGACACCACTCCACTGTACAACCCAGCCCGGTTACTTAGTGGGGGCCCCGGTAGGGGTTCCAGTGAAAGGTTGCTGTATCGGGGACCAAAGGAAGGTGATAGTGAGTCCTCAATGACTCCAAGCAGCACAACTCCATCCTCACCGCATGTGACAGTCGAAACACAGCATCTTCCTAGCTCGGAAATTCTGAGAAGGATGCGGTGGAGTGCACCCTTGAACCGATATGTGGATTCTCCCCTGTCAGAAAATTCGGCGGACAGCCCAGCCTTTGCACGAGAGGAAGTTCTGTCTCCAGAGTCAGGGGACCTGAGTTGCGAGAAGCAAGAGGATTCTCCTGTTGTGCAAACCCTTAATGGAGGTGTGCAGTACCGCGGTTTTTCAAGTGCTCGCGCCCAAGGGCAGATATCTCACGCCATCGGTAGCTTGGAACACATACAAGGAGATCAAGGTGCAAAACTGCGGTACACTGAGGACAGAAGGCACATCGTCAACGGGCTTGGGAAGTTAGCAGTTGCTGAGCAGAGGGCCAGTGGTATGCACGGAAGTAGTCACAGGGAGCGGGAGCAAGTTACCTGCTCGGGAGAATCTAGGGTTGATCTAGCGGTGAGAATCCCTTGCCTGGACTCCCACATTAAGGGTTATGATCGCGAGAAGGGTCTTGAGCATGCAGAAACGGATGCAACGGTGAATGCTATCGGCTGGGTGGGCGATGACGCGAGTGATGCTCTCAAGGTCAGCAAAGAAGAACGATCAGAACCTGCAATCAATAGAGCTTGTTCTGTTCGCAGCCATGACAGGCGCCTCACAACAAGTCTGAGCTGGAAATCGCAAGACCATTCGGACATTGATCAGGCATGCTTGGTGACTGTCCACAGCCCTGAAACCAACTCGTCAGGGGATGTGTTTGTCTCTGCCAGTCACCCGTGCACTTCAGCGAGTCAAGCACCGAATGGAGACTCTTTGTTCTTGGAAGGGGGACAGGAAAGAGTGCCCAGCGAAGCAAAGATAATCTATCTTGTTCGCAAGGCTCATCCAAGTGGCGCAGAGGTGCTGGACGAAGAACTTCAGGCAATCAACACATTAAGGAGGTTGGCAAAGAATGTACCCGAGTGTCGTGTGCTCATTTGTGAATTGGGAGGAGTTGAGATGATGGAGGCAATCTTTCAAAAAGTGCACCGTATGCAGGAAACCTCTTCGGTCAGCCACGGTATGGATAGGCGCTGGGTCAAAGTTTTGGAGGACGCCGTGGCCACTGCTCTCAACGTGTCAATTGAGGCGGAGCTGAAGATCAGGATTGCTAGAAGTGAGATTCTTGCTCATCTGGTCCGAATTCTGGAAGAAGCTCCGACAGAGGAGGTCAGGGAAATAACTGCAGAAACGTTCCGAAGCCTTTCACGAGATGAACTTCACAGGATTAGAGACTTGATTCGAGAGAGGGGTGGGATACCCGCCTTGATAAGTGCATTGCAGCAAGAAAACCGAACTGAATGCTTGGGAAGCGCGGTCCTCAAGACGCTGTCCGCTCTGTCTGTAGATCCAGAAAACCGTATGCAAATGTTATCCGCAGGCATCATTCCTATTGCACTGAAGATTGCACAGCAACCAGGAAGCCCCATGGCATACCCGGCAGTTTCAGTTATTCACAATTTGATGAGCATTCCTGCTGCGAGGTTGAAGGTGGTGGAGATGCGTGGTGTCAGCGTACTCTTCGGGGTGATACAGAGGAACGAGGAACAGCCGCTTGTTGAGAATGCTCTTGCCATCCTCTTTTGTATTGCTTGCGCATCGGAGTGGCTGCAGTCAGAGGTCGCGAAGATGAGCGGACTTGTGGACACACTGAAGCAGGTGATCAGCGACCCAAATTCCACTCCCCGAGCCAAGATCAAAGCAACTCATCTCCTCAAGATTCCGATGCTCAGACAACGATCGAATGGAGCAGAACTGGCACGACTACATGCTATGAATGAAGGTGTTATGCATGAGAGGTAAGCATGTCCACCCCTGATTGAGTGGAGTGAAGTTTGGGCACACAGAGGAGTTGTGTCAAAGTGCAGTTGAATGCTGGTGGACACGTCGTGGGCACCGCTCGGCGCACATCTTTGACCGGTCAGCTTCACGGTCCCAACTGTTCTGCGCTCCCTCTAGTGCTATTTTTCTGTGTCCGAAAACAATCACTCTGCCATTATGTAGCTGCCTCTAACCTCTTCACGTCACGTGGGATCCTAAGAACCTTTGCTGTGAAGTGCCGATTGCCAACCAGTTTTACTTGTCACAGATAGAAACTCCGAAAGAAGCTGGTGAACCGTGCCATTCTCATGTCTTGGCTTCCAATCCGACTCGGTATAACAAATCTGAAACCGCGGAAGATATTGGACTTTGGAAGTTTGAACACCTGTCGAAGGGGATTTGGAAATTTTGGATTGAATGGTTTTCTTTTTTCTGGTAGTGGCGCACAGTTGATCCTGCGTTCGCAGATGATGTGCGGTTGAGTTGCAACAGCAACCCTATGGTGTTCTGCACTCCTCATGTTTCTCGTCTCTTAGCATTCGTGCGTCTTCCAGCTGGTAGGATAAGGAAGGGACTGCCATGGGTGGCAAGTATGTGTGCTGCAGGCTGGTGCTCAGCCAGAGTATGACATATGTTGGGGATGTTCGGTAGTCCTTGTATTCACGTAACGTTGACAGGTGGCAGGCCATGATGTGGTACGGAGCGAGCAGGTCCTCTAGGCTCTCACGTGTGTTCTGACTGTTGAGGAGAAAGAATAAGCCACTAAATGCTGGCAGTTGGTCAAACCCCACGGGGGACCAGCGATGAAGTAAGCTAACTTGGTTTGTCGCATGCTCAAAGTAGCTGCTAAATGTTGTCGCTCTGCTTCTTTGAGCACACACATTCCTTGGAAGTTCTTGGAAGTTTCTTCCTTCCCTACCTTTTGCAAAGGAGGAAACTCAGTGCCGCCATTGTCAGCTCTGTGTTAGAGCATACGATTGGCAACTTTGTGCCGACTGTCTTAAAAGACCAAAAGTTACTTGATGCTAGAAGACAACAAACTGAGGAAATGTTTGGCCATTAGCAATGTCAGAGTCAGCGTCAGAGTCCTCAGACGCATTTCTGATCTGCTTCTGCTCTGTGAACATCAGTGGTATGTACTGTCTGAAGTAGATGGTGCCAGCATACAAAAAGCATCCTGGGATGGTCCGTCAGAGTTGATCCACTATCACTGAGCTGCTGGTTTCATCATTTAATGGGACTCTAAAATGAATGGAGACTGATTATTATCCGTAAGTGAATGTTGCATTGCCTGTTTAAGCAGCGTATTGCTGGCAGGAGGGAGATGCAGTTGCTATGCTAGCGCCGTTGCTGACAAGATATTCAGATGTTTCTGCAATCATTGTGTGAGGCAACCGTCTCTATCCCTCCAGGTCATGATGCCATTCGTGACTGGTGTTGTTTCTCAAATGTTACTTGGTGTGTGGGTGCCGGTGGAATGTCCCTTCTTTCTTCGTCACCTTTGTAAAATGCTACTTATGTGGGTGCTAGTTAATGTCTCTGGACTCCCTTCTTTCCCTCTGCCTCCTAGAGCTCGGGGTGAGAGCGAGCGAGCGTGCGCATGCGTGCAAAAGAGAGAGAGAGAGAGAGAGAGAGAGAGAGAGAGAGAGAGAGAGAGAGAGAGAGAGAGAGAGCAATGTGTGTGTGTGTGTGTGTGTGTGTGTGTGTGTGAGAGAGAGAGGAGCACTGCATGTGTATGTGATGGTGGATAAGTCCTAAATGTCACAACATCACACATTCGTAATATCGTATGTAAGACTTGAAGGGACTCCGGCACCATCTGAAAACAATTCCCAAATGGAGCATGTCTTGGTTTCTTCACGGATACAATTATGGACAGAGAAAACCATTATGAACTTCAGGGAGACGAGGGTTAATGACAGCCTGGTTCAGTGGACTCTCGCCGACTCATTAGTAGGCTGGCTACAGCCTGCTGAATCGCCTTTTGGCACTTGGCAGTGAAAGTCTGCTGAAAAATCCCCTTTCGCAAGGACTGCAGCTAAAGAGGTACAAGTCTGGCAGCAAGGCAAGCAGCAAGGCAAGCAGCAAGGCAAGCAGCAAGGCAAGCAGCAAGGCAGCAAAGTAGGCAGGTGGACCGACAAACTGCCCAGCAACAGGACAAGGCAAACAGCCAGGCAAGCAATGTGGCATCAATCCCAGCAGGCAGCAAAGCATAAGGGCCAGCGGCAAGCTATGGGGCAGGCAGCAAAATAAGCAGCTGTTGTGATTCTGGCTGTTCCCAAGTGTACTACCTGTTATGATCCTGACTATTCCAAAGTCCAATAACACAAGGAAAGACAATGCCGTCCCATTGCAAATGAAAAGAAAGAACTTCGGAAAGGGAAAGAGACAAAGAAGAAGAAGAAATAAGAAAGAAAGAGGAAGAAGATGATGCACACCAATGGCAAATCCCCCTCCTCTTGCCAACTCACTCCATCCCCCTTCTCTCTCCCGACTGCCTCGTGCAATAAATAACAATAATAACAAAAATGTGTGACTGAACCACAACCAATGTCAGAATCTCCTTCTTACTGCCAGCAGTACACGAGGTCCACCATAGCCACGACCTACATCTTCTTCCACCGTCTCTTGGTGGTGGTCATGGCAGACTGCAGAGGCCCTGCCCCGATGTTCAAAAGTCAACGCAAAAGCAGATATGACCCCTGCTACTCAGACCACCTCTGCCCTGAAGCCTTCTTGATGGGCTCTTAAGTGAAGCGTGGTGGGCTATGGCAGATTGCTGGGGCCCTGCCCCGATGTTTGAAAGACAAGGCAAAATCAGATACGACCCCTACTACTGCCTCTGGCCCGATGCCTTCTTGATGCAGGGCACCCCCACTGGGGCCTTCCAGGTGCATCGCCAACCAAGGAGATGAAGATGCCATCCACCATACCCAGGTAAGTACCTCCACCACTCGCCTCCACACCCCTTCTTCCTCGTTCCCCCACCTGGTCCTCTCCACCATATCCGAAGGTGGAGGGCCAGGCGCTCCTCTCTCCCAGTGCTGTACACCAGTGCTCTACCTCCCATCGCTCCAGCAGCATGACGCCCAAATGAGGGAGAGCTCTGTGCTCTCCCTGAAGATATACCTTCCTCTAGCTGAAGGTGGAGGGCCAGGGCAACTTGCCTCTTGGGCGGCAACTTCCAGGCTCTATGGCCTCCCAACCAACCGGTACCTTCCTCCATGTGGAGGGACACATCATTGCCCGTCTGATATCGTGCGCTGCACGTCCGAGACTCAGACTATTGGACTGGTTCCCCTAGATGTAGGCCTTCGGACTACTAAAATTCACTCGGCTTCTAAAGGTACGATTTGTCTTTTTTTCTGTCGGCCTACCGCTACTCAAGTACTCCCTGAGCTACACGGCCCTACCCTACCATTACTTGAGTGCTAGCCTACCACTACAGTGTTTTCCTCACTGGATCCCTCAAAGTCACGCCTCAGGTAAGTACCGGCCCCGAGGGCCTCCCAAACATGCAAGTTCCCCGGAGGGTGACACACATACAAGTAGTCATGCACTCAGACAGGCACACGGGAACCAGCAAGCATGCACACACACAGACTTAGAAGTCTCAGCAGAAATTGGGAATCTCAGCAAGGCGCACATTCCAGCGGCAAAACTCAGAATTTAGCAGAGGTCACAGTCTCTGATTTAGCAGAGGTCATTACACAGCAAGACAACTAGCAACATGCCAGGCAGGCAAATGACGAGGGGCAGCAGCTAGGCAATGAATCACAAGGCAAGTGAATGAGCAGCAATGCAAGCAGCATGGAACAGGGCCGGCAAGCAAGCGGGATGTGAGGCACGCAGCAAGGCGAAAAGGCAGCCTAGAGCATGCCGCTTTGAGGTCACCAGTACTTGACCCATACATCATCCGCGGTCCCTGGATGATAACGCGCCTTTAACCGGGCTTCGGGGCTGCCGGACGACAATGGCTGGTGGCGCCAGCCAAATGAAGGAAAAAGAAGTCGCGCTGGCGCTTTGACAAAGCGTGGAGCGCAGAACGTTTACAGCAGTGGAGAAAAGGCAGCATAATGTCAACACAATGTGTGTGCCTTCTTGCCTTGCTGCCTGCCACACCTCCTGTCCTGCCAGCATTGTCCCTTGCTGCTATAGTATCACGTACAATAGCTCTTTGTTCTTTGAAAGGATGCAGGATTTTGATACGCTGTACAGTTTTCGCACCTGAATTATCTGAAGACCTGTAAAGACTAGACCGGCAGCCTAGCGGGAGGTAAGGCAAGAAGCATGGTGATACAGGCAAGCAGCAAGGGGAACCAGGGGGCGAGAAGGCAGGAGAATGGGCGTTCTGGAAGGGAAGCGAGAAGCAGCAAGGAAACTAGCAAGACAAGGAGGCATCACCACAGCAGGGCAACAACTAGGCAGGCGCTAAGGTGCTTGGCAAGGTAACAAGGCAGATAAAATAAGCAGTTTAAACTTCGAAGTTTTAACTTTTAAGACTGCAAAAAAAGAAAAACACAAGAAGGGGGGGGAAAGGGGAGGGAGAACATAACATAACCACTTTACGACTCCAAAAAGAAAAAAACGAGAAGGACAGGGCGGGCAGGGGAGGGGAGAATAGCATTAGTGACGGACTGTTTTGTAGGACTTGCACCACTTATCAGGAGGCGGAACACCCGACTGTCTGTCAACCCTATTCTCCTTTAAACCCTGTTGAAAGTGGGCACCGAGCAGGTGGCATCACAGCAGCAAGGCAATGCAGCACAGACAGGCAGACTGAAGGCATATAGGCTTGAGGTCATGAGGGAGGCGGGTGGGCAGCCAAACAAGGCAAGCATTGGGCGAAAGGCAGCAAGGCAAAAGGCAGCGAGGCAGTGAAGCAAGAGGATGTGAGAACACGATGCACAAGCCACAAGGCGGTGAGGTGCTTAGGCAGAAGGCAGCACGGTAAGAGAGGGCCAGTCGTGCGAAAAGGCAGAGAGGAAGCAAGGCACAATGTACAAGCAGTGATGCAAAAGGCAGTGAGAAAACATCGCTCCAGGCACAAGGCAGGGGACCAAAGACAGTGAGGCAGAAGGTAGTGCAACAAAAGGCAGTTGAACGGCAAGGTGAGCAGCATGGAATGGCGAGGCAAGCGGAGGCAAAAAAGCAGCACAGACAACGCGGAGCACAGATCCGATGAGGACCAAATCAGTCCAATGCCTACTCACATCCACGGAGAATGCAGATATCCATCCCGAAACCAGTAGCCGCCTAATAGTGTTCCACGCGCTCCATAAAAACAGGCATTAACTGTTTGGCACTTCTTAGAGGTGCTCACGTAGGCAAAGTGGAGAGAGTGAGTACTTACTGAGAAGACAGAAAAACTCTGTACATAAATGAGTGACTGTCTTGTCATGTTCACTATTGCACAACCCTACACAAAAGCATGACTGTGCCACTCTTTGTCACACATTTTCACTGACGAATCAGGAGGTTGGACCTCGATACCCTGCCCAGGATGCATTTGACTGATGTATAAGTTGCTGCGCCTCCCAGAGTTAGCGATACCCCCGAGAAAAGTGGTTGACTCACCTCGCACCAACCCTCCAATCCTAGCAGACTTGCCGCGCCTCCCAGAGGAGGGATACACCTGACAAAAGTGGTATATTGGCATTAACCCTGCAACCCAAGCAGACTGTTGATCCGAACCCCCAGGATGGCAGCGAGTCTGAGAAACTAATCTGTCAAGCGTTCAGATATGTGATTAAACTCATACCAGGATACAGAGCGATCCACATCATATGGTGAATACAAAAGGCACACATCCCATCCAAGAAAGCACAAGAATGTGCATGCAGCGGCCTCAACTTTCACCAACCCTACGAAGGCACAAGGACTAGAGCGAGGGCACTAAGCAATGAGCCACTAGTTCAAGGAAATTGAGCGGTAGCGAAATGAGAGAAATCCAGAATGCAAAATCACACGGAAAGCCAAAAAGTTGAACACTGTCCACAAAGCATATACGTACTGATATTCCACCAACGGAGAACCAAAGCACCGAATCAAGATGTCAATGAGAGCATACTCTCGCCATCACCAATGTATGTGTCCAGAGCCCTTCGTCCTATGTGGCACTCAGCGCCCAGACTACTATCACACAGCTACTACCAGCCTACGGATTGACAATGCATCCTGTTGACATCAGCAGCAAATACCGAAGGATATGAAGATGTTGACCCTGTAGACCATTACCAAGACCAGGTACGTGCCCTCACATCATCAACCTCATCTCTCTCTCTCTCTCTCTCTCTCTCTCTCTCTCTCTCTCTCTCTCTCTCTCTCTCTCTCTCTCTCTTCTTCTACACCCGCGTCTTCTTCCTCGTGCATGAAGACCACCACCACCTCCACAGGCTGAACCAAGCCAAGCCCGGCTATGGTTGGGCTGG